ATGGGTAGGGACGGACGGATCCACCCTTCAAAAAAAAGCAGGGACAAATGACACCCCAAAAGTATCGATCTACCCAAATCGATCATTATCTAACAGATGACATCATCACCGTCACGATCTCCGTTTAGCCCGTGCCAGCGTGTCCTTTTTTTACACGCTGGATGCTGATGTGTACCAAGCTCGCTCTTTTCACACACCTAAACCTCTTCTTTGCGTGTCTTAGTTTTCTTCTCCCCATTTCTTTGTCTGTCCTTTTCTTTCTGTCCTCGTTTGGTTCACAGGGACAGCACTGTAAGAGAGAACTAGCTTGCAGGGGATCATGGGAAGAGCTCCATGCTGTGACAAAGCTAACGTCAAGAGAGGACCTTGGTCCCCGAAAAAAGACGCCACCCTCAAACGCTACGTTGAGACCCATGGCATCGATGACAACTGGATTGCTTTGCCTCAAAAAGCAGGTATCTTTCCCACTTCACTTAATTTTTTTTTTCTGCTATTTCTTCTTCTTCTTCTCCATAAACATTATACAATTTTCTAGGGCTTAAGTGATGTGGGAAGAGTTGTCATTTACGGTGGCTGAACTACCTGAGACCAGATATCAAACATGGAGGCTTTACTAAAGAAGAAAACAACATCATTTGCTCTCTCTACAGTCAAATGGGAAGCAGGCAAGTTCATATTTGCTTTCTCTCTTAATCTAATTGGAGTTTATATTTCTTCTCTCTTTTTTTTTTTTAACAAATAATTTAAAATCTCAACTTGGGATTTTTGTTAGGTGGTCTCTCATTGCTTCACAACTACCGGGAAGAACAGACAACGACGTCAAGAATTATTGGAACACCAAGTTGAAGAAGAAGCTATTTGCATCCAAAACAACCCTACTCCTCCAAAATACAACTCCCATTGCTGAACCTCCTTTTCTGTGTGTTCCCAAACCTGAACCCTTCAACAATTTCAATTATTCATCTCCACAATCCCACAATATTGTGAGTTCTGCAACATTGCTTGTGTTAACTGATACCGGTTGTGGAGTCCTGACTAATTTCAATGGACCTCAAAGCCTGCTCTTTTCTTCACCAGATGTCGGTCATGGTTCCCAATTCGTCCCTACCCATATTTGTACACATCAGCATTCAACGTGTAAAAAAAGGACACGCTGGCACGGGCTAAACGGAGATCGTGACAGTGATGACGTCATCTGTTAGATAATGATCGATTTGGGTAGATCGATACTTTTGGGGTGTCATTTGTCCCTGCTTTCTTTTGAAGGGTGGATCCGTTCCTACCCATATTTGTCGAGGGGTGATTTGAGGGTTCTGCCAATTTGAAATGATTTTGAAAGTTTATAAATAATTTTGAAAGAAACTAAATTTTCTAAACTAAAATGAAAAGAGAGTAATAATTAATAGATGAAAAATTAAACTTAGCCCTTTAATTTGTTTGGATAGATATTTTATTTATATTTAAAAAGATATAATTAAATATTAAGTATAAAAATATATACTCGTTTCGTTTTGGGTTA